TCCCTTCCCACGAACCATGAAATCAACCAAAATAAAATACTATACTGCAAAATAACAACATTCACAGTAACAATCATATTCAATCAACTGAATGATTAAACAAACGAGATCAGATCTTGTAACAATCCAACAAAACCGCTTCTTTTACAAAATTACAAAAACCCTAAACAAAACCCTAATTCAAAACAAACTCAAATATCACATTTTCAGCAACATTCACTGCAACAAGGAACTAATTTAAACATAAAAAAAATCACAAAAACTAATAAAAATCTGGTCAAGAAATTAGGTTTAACGAACATTGTAAAGTGAAAAACGAAGAAATCAATCGGAAGAGAGAGAAAGAGAATGCTTACTGAGAACGACAACTGGTGCGTGCATGATTTCTGATTAGAGAGAGAAAGATTCAGAAATTTGGGAGGAGAAACAGAGGATTTGGTTTATAGAGAGAGTGTGAAGAGTGTTGAGTTGTGTTCTTCAATGTTGTGTCCTTCAATGTTGTGTCCTCCCTCTCTCTATATGAATTATGAAATGGAAAACCCTCGAAGTTTTGTCGTTTAAACTTTTTACGAGTTTTAGGTCATGTTGGATCTCCCTTCACGGTCTTTGGACACTTCATTCATTTAGGGTAAATAAAATCGTAAATGTCTTTTGAATATCGCTACGTGTCCTTTGAATCTAAGAAAAATAGGTTAAATTGTAAATTTCTTTTGCATATCGTTACGTGTCCTTTGAATCTTAGAGCATTATTATTGGTGAACACAAAAAAATGGTTCATGGGTCACTATCACCATTTCTCTCTCATCCACATCAACCCAACAAACCATTTACAATATTCACTTTAACAATGAACACTAAACAATGGTTCATCATCAATACTCCCTACCCCACCTTATTTTATTTTTGTAAATATAATCTTTTTTGTTTCATAATTATAATTTATTAACCCGATGTCAATGTAATTAATTGACGTATTTAATATTTTAATCGTGATTACTAATTAAGAAATTATCGCATTTTTTTATCAGCTTTTTAAAAAACTAATATTTTAATCGTGATTACTAATTAAAAATAATAATAACAATAATAATATTAATATTGGTATAAATAATAATAATATTGGTAATTATAAAGGGGATTTTTGAAGAGAAAAATATAGTAGAAAAAAATGAATTTTCAAAGTTGAAAAAAGTATATCAATATGGGTGTCTATTTATAGAGGGGGAAAAAAATAGAGTCGTTGGTAATTTTATTTTTTTTTTTATTTGTATTTTGTAAAATATATCCGTTGTAAAATTACAACGGATATATTTAAAACAGTACACACGTGTCAAGCAGCGGCTGGGCCAAGTGGCGCGCTCCCAGACGCTGATTTCTATTTTTTTCTGACCTTTAACAGCAAAACGACGTCGTTTTGCAACATGTAACAGCAAAACGACGTCGTTTTGCATGAATATCAGTCCAAAATATTGGTGGGGCCCACAGCGAATTAATTCATGCAAGTGAACCCATGACCACTCAACATGAACAATTAAAGAGTTTGCCATTAAGCCACCACCTTATTTGTTCACTCATTGTGAACTATTAAAATGTTCACCCTTAAAGATGCTCTTAGAACTTTACCTTATTAAAGAAAAATAGGTTCAAACAAGATGAATCTAATAAGGGAATAAAAAAAATGATGGGTTTATCCCTTGAACCTAAATTTATATTTGAAGTTACCTTATACAAAAAGGGGGTGTTTGGTAAATGGGAATTGAGGGTGTAAATGTGATTTTTAATTCCAAATTTAAAAAAATCTCTTGTTTGTTAAATGGGATTGGGAATAATGAAGGGAATGGTATTGGGAATAAATGGGGTGAATTCCCACCAATTTATTACCTAAACAGGGTAGGTAATAAATGAGAGGGAATGGGAATAAGTAGAAAATGACAATTTTGTCGTTAATGAAAAGAATGGAGAAGAAAGATGAGTAAGGGTAATTTTGTATTTTTGTTATCTATTCCTCGTCTACTATCCAAACAAAGTATTGTCATAAGTACTAAATGCAGGACAAATTTACCTAAATGCATAATAAGTTATTTTTTAAAAAAATATTATATTCCAATTTTGTCCTTGTTTTAACTTAATCCTTTACACTTTTTTAAATGATTAAAATTAAATCACTTACACTCCTAACTATATAATCATCTCAACTGTTTAATTTACAACCATATTCTAACGTATTCAATCTTGTATCCAATTTAATACGGAGTATTCAATACTATACAAATTCCTAGACAATAATGAAGTGCACTACAATATTTTTTTGAGGTATGAAAATTATGTGCTGTAATAGATGAACAATCAAACAACATAAAATTTCCATCTTATACGGCTAAGATTTTTGAAGGCCTCTAGCATGCATCCCTCTTATACAATTTCCGGGGGTCTCAAATACCCCCCGGCTAGGATTTCCGGGGGGTCTCCAATACCCCCCAGCTAAGATTTCCGAGGGTCTTCAGTACCCCCGGCTAAGATTTCCGGGGGTCTCTAGTACCCCCGAAAAACAAAGTCGGGGTACTTATAATGAAAAATTATAACAATTCAACAAAAAAAATTAAACGAAAAAAAACTTAAGACTGGATGGTTTATGAGCGGTGAACGACTTCTTTCGTCTCTAGGGCTCAAATTGAAGAATTTTAAGGGAATGAAATGGTGAAATGAAATTAATTGCAAAAAAAATGGTGAATGAAATGAAAAAAATTGGCAAGTATAATGAATTGCAAAATAAAAAATGTAAAAACAAAAAGCCGGGTGAAATGGCAAATTAGTTTTTCGTTTTGGAAAAGGGTATTTCAGTCATTTTATTATTTTCATATTATTAATTAATTTCTACATTTAGGTTATTTTGTACTTGTAGGCGTCGCTCGAGAGTGCGCCTACGTAAAAGCATGTTGTGAATATGTTTGGCACTCATAGGAAGTGGGAATTGACATAATACGATTAGGGATAAGGAAAGTAGGGAGCCGCCAACAAGTTTTTAAGGAACTTGTAAACCGTTCACGGATCATAAAAGGCAACCACGATAAAGGGACAACGAAGGCAACAACGATTGACTCGTGAAGGTTACACCCCATTTATAATCCATGAGATTACTAACTCCATATGGTTCGGAACCACGAAAGGAGGATCGGGGATGATGGTACGAAGTGAGTCATGGAGTCACATTCGCCCGTATTGGCCTCTACTCGATTCTTATAGTGAAAAGTGATTCCAGCGATCTCAAAGGCATACAAACAAAATATTCAATTCGTTCCAAACTATTATTAAGCTAAATTGGTTGAATATTAATGCAACATAAATTCTAAAATATTAGTGATCACTTGAATTAATAACAAGATTAAAAAGGAACCTAAACCGGTCGTCCAAATTATCTTATTAGGCGTGATTTTCAATTACATATTCCCTTTAACATGCAATATGGTGATCATAAAAATAATAGAATTACCATTAATATTGGAAGCAATTTAACAATAATATTGTAAGTTAAATCAAATATAAAATAACCTAATCATGATGCTAGCAATATTAAAATAAAATAAGAGTAATTAAATTAATTAATTACTCACATTCCGCGCGTTCCTTTAATTTGCTACATCATGAATAAACTATTAGTAACTTTAATAAAAATATAATGCAAATTAAAATTATTAAATTAAATTAAATAAAAAGTAGAGTTAATTTGGTCCAAACCCTCAGTTATTTGTACCTTTCACACCTTGGTTTAAGTATAGAACTTTGGGTGTTGTATGGACTCCTTGGAGTACGTAGGGGAAGTATTATGAGAGAATAGGATGACTAGTATTTAGGCTAAAGAGGGAGAAAATAATTATTTGATGATCAAACTTGTTGATCTTTGGAAAAGGGGTGATATGACCTCTATTTATAGGGAAAAAAAGAGGGTCGAAGAATCAAAATCAAGAAAAGATCGAGTTCGAATCGGATTAAAACTCTTGCGATAGACAACACTTTTTGCGGTTTTTGTTTTTATCATATCTTTTGATCCAGAAATCGGAATAAAATGAATAAGATATTGTTGGAAAGATATTGAAGTCTACTTTATAACCCAATTAGATACAGATTAAAATATTTTGTAGAATAAAAGATATGGACGAAATAGTGAGACAGTGTCAGTTTTGGATTGAGTTTGACATTTAATTCATATCTTTTCCGTTATAGCTCGGAATTGATATTATAATATATCATTGGAAAGATAATTTCAAGGGTTATCCAACCATAAAAAATTTGGATAAAAACTATAAGACAAGAAAATAATATCTGTCTATCTTTGAACGTCTTTCAATTCGGATACAAATAAGATTTTAAAAAAAAGGAGTTTTATTCAATTTCAAATATTTAATCTTATCTTTTCAAAAAGGATAACTAAGATATTTTAGAAACTTATAGAAGTTTCCAAATTAATCCTAATTGGTTTAGGAATTGGATTAAATCATTTGGACTCTCCACATGATCATTGGGTCGTAGATAAGGTGGGCTTAGGTTCGGTTTGGGCTCAGTTTAATATTTTGGCCATAACTTATTCGTTATAACTCGGATTTGGGCTTATAATATATCTTTGGAAAGCTCTTTTCAAACCCCATCCAAATATTTAATCATTGGACCCATATTATGGACCAAAATAAAATGGATCAAACATTTTTATAAAAAGAACACGAAATGAATGATTTTAAAGGACACGAAATGAATTATTTTGGGTTTAAAGGCACGAAAAGAGGAAAATAAGTTATGGTTTGGGGAAATGGGCTAGGAATTGGGTTGATTTATGAAATGGAAATATGGATTTAAGCACTCCAAAAATTAAATACTCAACCCGACCAACAATGGCGGTGAAAGGTTGTTCATCATCGGGTTTGATTTTGGGGAGACATTTTTAGGTGTCTACAGTACTGCATTTAGTACTTGCGTTTATATATTCCCAACAATCAATTCCAAATCTCATTCCCATGTTTTAATCCTCAAACTCCCATTTCCACATTCCAAACGCCACGAAATTTTTCTCTTTGGCTTTGTGATTAGGGTTTGTTTTCCGAAGAGAGAGAAAGAAAGAATGAAGATCAAAATCCAGGGGTTAGGAAGACCTCGATTGGAGAATGAAGTCAACCCTGATGATAAGGTCTGCCTTTATAGTGTTTTATTGTGGAATTAAATTTCATGTTTATTTGTTTGTGGATGAAATTAGTGTTTTTTGTTTGATGAATCTGAGCAAAATTGTGTATTAGTTGTTTTTAATGCAAATTGGCGCAACTTTGAATTTGATGAATGGATAGTTTATTTGAATTTGGAATTTGTAGTTGTTAGTAGAATCTAAACCCAAAAAACAAAATAGAATCTTATTCTCTATCTGATCTCAAGGACTACTTGAGTTATATGATAATCCTAATGACAATCCTATTCAAGTTAGAATAATAAAACCATCTAATTCTAATCACATATTGTTTGTTTCTGCATCGATGCATATTGTTTGATTGGAATATGGTGCTTTCAATCTCTGTCAAGTTTAATTGTGATTCTGACCCGGCCATAACTTGTTTCAGATTCCCGATCTCAAGAAAAAAATTGAAGATGTGCTTGGAGCAGATGACTTCCCTGTTGGAACTCAAATTCTTGTTAACCGGGGACAGTATTTGATGTGTGAACGTAGCACTTTGCGGGAACTAAACGTTGTGGAAGATGGAAAAATTGGTGTTTTTTCCGCTCCGAAAATGGTGGGTATTCACCAATTAATCTGATATAGTAGTAACGTTTAATTGGTAGTAATTGCATAAATTTTATGGTTTCTATGCCTGTGCTTTGCTTGTTATAGGGAACTATCTTAGTCCATGCCTGATTTATACTATGAAATACGCATAGGCCATAATGCAGCAATTGTTATTGTAAAACATTCTCATTTTGAATAAGTTAGAACGAAATAGTGAAATGGCAATGTTTGATATAGCCTTGATGCAGTTGTCCTTTAAACCTTGAGCACACTTCAAATAGACAGCCCGAGCTATGTAATGACAATCAACCTCACGTCCCTCTTTCCCATAGGTTACTTATACAATGTTGATGCTGTTAGTTCACCTCATAAAAGCCGGATTATGTTTGTATTGGCATCAGGTTCTTTTGTTTGTGTTTGCTGCTAATGTCTGATAGCTTTTGCTGTGCTTCTTGATCTTTCATTTCGGGTTCCTCACAACATAATTTTTATATTTTGCTGTTTTTTTAACACGGTTGTATGTTTTGGCTTGTAGCGCATTTCGATGCCCAAACAAGTATGGGCGTGTGCAGCAGGGTGAGTTATACTCTTGTATGTTGTCTAGTTGTTTGAAAATATGCATGTTATGTAATAGCTTGCTTATTGCTGTGTGTGATTTTTTAATTTGCAGTTCGTCTTCTCCGGCTCCAGTTACTCCGGTCATCTCGTCTGTTGTGTGAATGTCTGTCTACCCTCTTGTTTTTTCTATTCAGCTTCGAATGCATTTTTATCATTGACTTGTATCATGTGAAATTCTGGTAAGTACTGAACTAGGGTTGGATTGGTGGAATTCTGTAATTGTGCAGGCCAAAACCGCCAAAACTAAATGCTATTAGCTAGGAAGGCTGATTTGAATTTCGTTGCAAGAACTAGTCTTTCTATGTGCAAGGACCCAAGACTTGGCATTAAAGTATACACTCGGAAGAAGAATTTGAATGGGAGGCTTGTGAATACGAAATCCATTGTCAAGTAAAGAGATTGTTTTAGGTGAATATGCTGGTTTTTTGTTATGATCTTGCTTATAGGACAGCCGGGTTACGTGGATTGGGTTGGTACGAAACTGAGGGCAACTCTGTATGTGGATGCTGAGCTTTTTGTAAATGAATGATGTATAGACTTGGTTTTTTGCTTGGCCTAAGTCATTTTGGGTACTGATTACTGAAGATGATTAAGTTTGCTCTTACTATTTTCTCTATCTGGGCAGCTTATCTTGGTCACTCACTCTAGGACTGTAATTTTGGAGAATCACTTATGTATATTTACAACTTGTATGCTGTCAAAAATGAAAAATCCACTTCGTGCTCCTATTGATTTACTTGTACATTTATAATCACATAAGCTTTATACCTTTTTTTTTTTTTTTTTTTTTTTTTTTTTTTTTTTTTTTTTTTGTGAATACCAGGGGCAAGCCCCAAAAGAGAAGAACAAAACAAACAAAGAAAAGCAAAAAAGAAAGACGAAAGCAGGAAACAAACAAACTACCAACTACTAGACCTTAACACCATTCATCTAACACACCCCTAAGGTTCTCCAATAAAATGGCGTGAAGATAATTTGGGATCGCCACGAACATCACCGACTTTTGACTAGGCGTCAACCCAAAATTAGCCAACCAATCGGCAACTTGGTTGGCCTCTCTGAAGCTATGTCCAATCGTAATCTCCCAATCACGTCGAGTAATCAAGAGTTTACATTTGCGAATCAAGTGAATAAAAGGAGAGTTGGTTGGGATTAGATCCCCAACATCCAGAAAATGACTTCCGAATTAGCAGTAAGCTGCACTTTATGGTGCCCTCCATTCCACGCTATGGCAAGGCCACGAAGAACAGCAAAAATCTCGGTGCAAGAACATACATCACAATTCATAGCAAACACTTCATATAGCTCACCTAGATGGCCACGAATCAAAAACACCTGCACCAGCTGGCCCCGGGTTGCCTTTCGACGCACCATCCGGGTTGAGACGAAGAACCTAACCTTCCTTAGGGAACTCCCATCTAATTAGAGCTTCAGTCCTCTTTCTCTTTGCTAGAAGAATTCCCATTAGTTTGTCTTCATAAGCTCGACGAATGTCCCCAACTCGAGCCATTATGTAGCTCAGTTGGTCCATGGGAATATCAGCCTCTCTTCGAAAGCTACGCTCATTTATTCTGCGCCAAAGCCACCAACATGTAATTGCAAAAATACGAGGCCAATCATCACAGTCTATCTGATCCTGCTCTTCAGATTTAACATAACCCAATATTGCATACTTGATGTAAGCCATCTATCATGCCTTTTAAGTACTCCTCTTTTTTTTTTTTTTATGAAAATTCAAATTCGCAAAAAAACTCTCTAGACCTAAGCTCATTCCCTACTAAATTACATTGTTGAAGGGTATAATTCAAAAATTAATGATGATTTGTTACCATGTACTGTGGGTGGATCAAAGAAGAGCATGTTTCTCTTACTATTTTCAGTATTTTCACATGCATATAATATTCAAGCAAAAGTTGATTAGGAGTTTGACAATCAATAACTCACCTTTTAGACTAATATAAAAAGGAACTTGACATAAAAATGCCGGATGTCCCTTGAGACCCACTCCAAACTCACCCTCATACTCACGATAATCTTACGGTCTCTAGTCTTACTCCAAGGTCACTCAAGTTTAATTTAAAACTAAAACCTTGTTTTTTTTTGTTTTTTTTTATTTATATATAAATTGAAATTAAATGAATAAGCACACCCTAAAATAGGTAATACAAAGTACTCCTTCCACATTTTAATAAGTGCTTCATTAATACTTTTAGTACGGATCATTTTATCTACTTTGACCAATGGTTCTTATCTATACATAAGAAAAAAAAAACATAATCTGTTAGTATTTGTTGAAGTCTTCTCAATACATAGATTATTAATTTTCTTACTATAATTTATACTTATTGATAATTATAAATATTACTCCATACTGATCAAATATCTGCATCAACATACATGCTAAAATATTATTAATCATTTTTTTGGGGTTTAATAGACTAAAACCCTGTTCATTTCACCTTAAAAGATAATTTCAGTTCAGTAAAAATAATATTCAATAAAAATAATTTCAGTTTAGTTAAAATAATTTCAATTTAGTAAAATTAATTTCTATTTTAAAATCAATAACTTAAAAAAATCAGTAAAAATAATTTCATTGTAGTAAAAGATAAATAAAAATAAAAATAATTTTAATGCGCAAAAAAATAAGATGAAATTAGAGGGGCCTAAGTTAAAATCAATTTGACTTGATCACCAAGGCATTTAATTTCACCGACCCATGTTTTTTTGGGGGGCAAAAACTATATAAATACGGCTTGGTCGGCTTCTGCGTTCTCCTCAATCAATCTCTGCTGAACTCACGAACGCCTTCTGGTAAGAATTCCAGGAATTCCAAATATTGTAAATTTCTAAGGGTTTTATGCCTTATTTTTTCTGTATTATTTTCCAAATTTGTGACTTTTGTTGATCAATTTCATTGTATAAGCAAATTATTATCATACAATTTACAATTTCATAATTAAGAGCTTTTTTTGCTTGTAATCATGTCGGCAAGAAAAGCTAGTAGTTTGAGGAAAGTTTCTAATTGTTGTCAAGGTTTTGGTTATGGGGGTAACATTAGTTCTCAGAATAATGGGGTTCATTATAAGTATGGCCGAAAAAGGGGTAACTTTGAAACCGATTATAGTGAGGAAATTGGTAATGGAGTTGTGCTTTCTTCGCTTCGAAAGAGGAGGAAGTTTGCTCCTCGAAGGCCGAAATTATGTAATGATCTTGATGAAGAGGGTATTATTATTAGTCGTGTACCGAAATTATCGAAGTCTCGGTGGGTGTTTGATCATGATTTTGATGAGTGTGGTTGGGTACAGAAGGGTGGAGTTGTTATTAAAGCGGAGGGAGTGAAGGAGAGGAGGTGGAGTCGTGCGAGCGGGGTGATTCAAAAGGAGGAGTTAGCTGGTGAGTGTGTGATGAGAGTAAATGGTGATGATTGTATGAAATTTGGTGTAAGTGATCATGTTAAGGAATGTGTTACATTGGATTTGGATGATTTCGATGAGGGTGTCGAGGGTGGAGTGTCTAGGGGAGGGAGGGGGATTGTGCCTCGAGGTTGTAGAAGTGTGGTTGAGTATGAGAACCTTGGTAAGATTAATGAGGGAAGTTATGGGGTTGTGTATAAAGCAAGGGATAAGAAGAGTGGAGAGATAGTTGTTTTAAAGAAGATGAAGTTGGGGAAGGGAAATGAGGGATTTCCTGTTTGTTATTTGAGGGAGATTAAAATACATATGTTATTGAACCATCCTTCCATTGTGAATGTTCGAGAAGTTGTGGTGGATGATGGCATTGATGGGTTTGATAATGTTTATTTGGTGATGGACTATGTGGAACATGATCTTAGGGCATTGGTTAAGTCAAGGAGGCGGCCTTTTAGTCAGAGTGAAGTGAAGTGCTTGATGCTTCAACTTTTGGAGGGTGTTGAATATCTTCATGATAATTGGGTGTTTCATAGAGATTTAAAGACTGCAAATATCTTGTTTAATAATATGGGAGAGGTAAAAATTTGTGATTTTGGATTGTCATGCCAGTATGGTAGTCCATTGAAACCGTATACTTCTATGGTGGTAACGCTTTGGTACAGGGCTCCCGAGCTTCTGCTGGGAGCCAAAGAATACTCAACAGCTGTGGATATGTGGTCAGTGGGTTGCATAATAGCTGAACTACTGACTGGCAAACCATTATTTGAGGGAAAAACTGAGTTTGAGCAGATTGGTAAGATATTCAATTTGTTGGGCACACCTAATGACAATATTTGGGAAGGCTACTCAAAGTTGCCTGGGGTTAAGCTCAACTCTGTTCACCAACCATACAATCTATTGCATAAAAAGTTTCCCTGTGCATCTTTTATTGGCTCTCCAACACTGTCTAACTCGGGGCTTGACTTGTTGAGCAGGCTATTAACATATGACCCTGAGAAGAGGATAACAGCGAAAGAGGCCCTTAATCATTGCTGGTTTCAGGAAGTTCCTCTTCCCAATTCCAAGGAGTTCATGCCTACTTTCCCACCGGTATTGTAGGCTTCTACACAAGTAGTAATCAGATTATGTCGGGCAGAGCTTCGTTTAAGGGACTGCAGCAGTACTCTTATCTTATCTAATTTGCTGTTACATTTGTGTGGAACCTGTTGATGTATGTGATTAATTTTTGAGTTTGGATATAATATTTTTCCACCTTGTAGGGTTATATGACTTTTGTGAAGCAATTCATGAAGTAAAGTTGAGTTGCATGGCTGAATTAATAACAAAGGTGTGAAGTAACAATTCTTTATTTGATCATATCTTTGTTTTCCTTCTTTCTTTCATTGGCTTGTGATTTGGAGAAACTTTTGTATCTATTTTATTATTTCCATGTACATTATCATGAAGATTGTCATTTTACGGTGATTATTTTCTTAAGCCATCTTGCTTATTTTTATTGTTTAGTGCACTTATTTTAGCAAGGAATTACTGCACTCAAATCAACTATACTGGAAACAATTTTCTTCATGCCTCGGTGGAGAAACATCTTTTTAGTATTCATGTTTTTTTTGTGGAGTTGGGGTATATTGTTTCTCTTCTACTTTTTTGTGTATTGTGGTCCTGTCTTACAATCATAACTGGCTGTCCTTGTATGTGTTTGAAGTTTGATCATATCTCTGCTGCTGTATTGGAGCTTTACGAGACATTGAAAAGCTATAGAATGAGTTAATACTCGGTACTTCATTTATGGTCGTTGGTGAGGGAGTACTTCATGTACTTCATCTCTTTCCTTTGCTTTTTAAGTACTTCATGTAGCTTTGGTGGTTGATAAATAAATATTTTGCATTTGTGAGAAGATTATACTTTTTCTGGGGTACAGATGTCCTAGCAACGGTGTGCCATTTTACATAGTGTATTGCAGTTGGCTTCATGCTCAATCTTACAGGTGGTCAAGGTTGAACTTTTATCTGATTTATTGGTTGTGAAACTTGATTTTTAGATGCAAGATGTTAGTATTGATGCTCAATATAAAAAAGAGCATAATTTAGATTGTTGTAACATGTCATATGTAATCTGCTACTAGTACATGATCATCTGAGCAGAGATAATGTCCTTAAGGATGTGATCTTTAACCACGCTTTAGACGTGTGTACGATGTATTAACTTTGGTATGATGATTTCTTCTTTTGAGTGGTAACTTCTGTTGTATCAGATGTTTAGGGGTCTGAAGTCACTGGCAGTTCTGAATGTGCAAGTAAGACTGAAGGAACTGTGTTAGAGTGAGCCTGAAAGACTGAGGAAACTGTTAGCATGAGCCGGAAAGACCGAAGAATTGTGAGTATTAAAAACATGCAGTATAATACTCTGTATTCACATTGCCTTAACCTTTAATAATGCAAGGATTTTACTAATTCTAAAGTACATGATTATTATTTTCGGATGTAGGTAGTATACTAGTATTTGTTTCTAGTTGCTAAATAAGTTCACATGTCCATGGTGACAGATGAATACAACATTGTTTGCTATCCTTGCCTGCTCCAATTTTCAAGTTTCGACTTGACCTAAATATTTTGGAATTCAACTTATTTTATCTCTGAGATCAACTATCTTGTAGGTGCTTAAGCATACGATGCTGGTCCGTTTTTGACACCACTCAATCGAATCATCTTCACCAAATTCATCTTTGCTGCGGCAACCTGATGATCAATTTCGTGTTAAATCAACAATGTTTTTGAATCAATTTCATGTGCCGGTGTAGTGTTATCGAGTGATCATGTGTTGTATGAATCTTCTATAAGAACATGGAAAGCATGATTTGATCTGAGATGTAGATTAATAATCATCCATTTATTTGTTTAGTGAAAATTGTCAGAAGATGTATCAACACAACAGCATGACAATTAGGGTACACTTGCATTTTGTTGAAATCTATCCATCTATATTATTATTCGTATAAAGCAATAACCTACATTATATTTTTTCCTCTTAAACTTTTAGTAGCCCGCATTCCTGCCTAAACTATTTCCTTTTTTATTCGTTTTATAGATAATTTAACAAACCAAATTAATTTAACGCATGTATAAAAATGCCTTCATTTGTCGTAGTGATAATTGTTTACTACGGAGTAATGCTCTAAAAAATCTCAATCAAATGCAACATAAGGCAATGACTTAAAATCTCAAGAAAAAAATTGGAGATATCATACGTTATGTGGATTAAATAAGTACATCGAAAAGTGCTTAAAATTCTGAAAATTTTAGGCAAAAGGAAATTGGATTGATAGAAAACAAAGATCTGAAGAAATTTCAAAAGAAGAACATTAAATGAGTGTTCAATACATTTTACATTTTATTTTATGCAAGTGAGAATAATTTCAAGAATATTCCCAGGCCAAAGAAGAGTTGCTTAATCTTTATGCCTCTTTATGTGAGAGAGCAAGAATGTACAGGGGCAATGAAGGACAAATCTAAACCAACCAAATGTTAAGATGAGGCATGATAGACCACTACCAGGTATGGACTCCTTTGGTTCATACTTAGGGGCAAAAATGTACTTTCAAGTAAATATTTAGACAGTAATTATTTTGTTACCAGCTGTAAAAAAATACTCTCTCTCCTCTTTTCCCTTCTCTCTCCTCTTTCCCCCTCTCGCTCCTCTTTCTCCACCGGAAACCTTTTTTTTTTAAAAAAAAATTCTCACCTCTTTTCCTTTGTAATTCGAAGACCTCAAGGCTAGTTTGTATCTCGACCAGAATTTTCACCGGAAAATCAATTTGAAAACCTTTAAGTGAGAGGAGAGAGAAATCACCATCACCATCATCATCTTCGTCTTCATCAACAACAATGCCGGTGGGTTACTACATCGTCCTCACCACCACCGCTATCGAATATGTAATAATAATATCCAGAGCTACAATAACAGTATAAAATCATATGATAACAGTATATAAATCAACCATAGTAGTATAAAAATCAATAACAACAGTATAGTCAAACCTACAATAATCATATACCCAAAAAGTATACAAACCAATTCAACAATAACGTATACAAATAAGAATTAATAGTATACAAAATAAAATAACAGTATACACGTTAATGATAACAGAGCACCGACAAACAATTAATGTCGTCATCTTCAACTCCTTCACATCCAAATTGTTTCGAACTTCGACAACACCAAACAAAGAACTCACCATTTTTCATGGAGAAAGTCGTAAATTTGCACACCGGTGGTGAATTCATCGTCTCTCGTGACCAAAACAAGATGTTTAAAGAGCTTGAAAATCCTTCTCCGCCCTCCAATTATACTACCTTTTATCAACCACAAAATTTGCTGCTCCGGTCCGGCGCCGGTCATTTTTTCACAGGAAACAACAAAGAGGGGAAAGTAATTTCTCTCTCCTCCTTTTTCTTTTTTACCCACCCCTCGTTCTCATTTTACCCCCTGTTTGGGGGTTTTCTGTGTCCTTCGGGAGAGTTACAATTTCCTAGCAGACTTCCTTCTTACGCCTGTACCTGCACCTAGCCGACTTCCTTCTTGCACCTGTACCTGCACAAGTAACGGAGACTCCGGATGGGGGGTGGGAGTTCCGCCTCCGAAGATTAAGTTAGTATCTTTTCGAAGTGGAATAAGAACTGTAAAAGCTTCTCGGTTCGAGAGCGTTTCAGTAGGTTTAGGCTTTGTTTGGTTTGTTGTGGTTGCAATTAATGTCCGTCCCTCATAAATGAGGTCTACCCTTACTATTTATAGTAAGGGAGAACTGTACCTCAATAAGGGTATAAGAGACACGTGTCTGCAAAGGAAATGGGCCTTTGCAGACTGCTGAAAGATTGACACGTGTCAAGCATTTATTGGGCCACGTGTCTTAGGTATTTTCACCCTAAACATCTGCCCCTCACAGATGAGATGTGGCAAACTCACGTGTCATCTGTGACAGACGTAGGGTGCACGGGGTAAGTGACGGCTCGTCTGCCTTCCCCCTCTTGAATTTCAAATTTTCGTGCAAGTGACTGTTCGCCTTCTGCCTCTTTCTATAAGTAGGGTGGCTACCTCTTTCCTCCGCACTTTTTATTTTCAAAAATTTCCTGAGAAGCTCTGATACCGGCTGCTTCTTTCAAGACTTTCGAGCATCCGGTTTTCGCAAGAACTTGACGTCTGCCTTCCGGCTGAGTGCGGATTTAGTAAGGTACCGTCTGCTTTCTCCCTCATCCGGCGTTTTGCCGTCTGGAATGTTTAATACACTACCATCCGGCATTGTGCCGCATGGGACCCCTTTAAGCCAACTTTGTTTTAATGCAGATTAGTCATAAGTACCCTCATCCGGCCTTTAGCCGTATGGGGGTGGTTTGATCAACCTTTGCTTTCAAACATCTTTCAAATTGCCCCCATCCGGCATTTAACCGTATGGGGGTAGTTTGAGTAGCCTTGGCTTTTTCTCAAACATCATTCAAATTGCCCCCATCCGGCATTTAACCGTATGGGGGTAGTTTGAGCAGCCTCGACTTTTCCCCAAACGTTGTTTTAATTGCCCCCATCCGGTGTCCAACCGTATGGGGGTTGTTTGAGCAGCCTTGAGCTTTTTCTCAAGCATACAAATAGCCCCCATCCGGCTTTTACCCGTATGGGGGTCGTTTGAGCAACCTTGGCTCAAACTGTTTCAAATTGCCCCCATCCGGCTTTTAACCGTATGGGGGTCGTTTGAGCAGCTTCCAGCCCATCTCTGCTATCCCTCATCCGGGACTCCGCCGCTTGGGGGGCTTTTAAATGAGCTTCCAATTAAACATGTCTGATCTATTTCTTTATTTCAGCTTCAAACACATTCGGAGATTTCCGCCTGTGTAGGTTTCAAGCCACCATCTCAGCAAATTCCAACCTCCAAAGGTACCGTCTGCACCCTTTTTCAATTCTTTTTGTTAATTTTCCGGTTGCATAGATAGGATATGGACCCTTCAATTATACACTCGGCACAGTTTACGACTGCTGTCAGGCGGTCACCAGGCACGGCTGAGTCTAGGACTGGGACTGCCGTCTGGGGGTATTTGGGCGAACCTTCACCTACCTCGAATCCGACCGTCTCTGTTCATGTGCAGGACAGAATGGCTCGGATAAGATGGACGGCAGTTGACCCGGATTACAAATTCGACGACGCAGCCGAAGATCCGGCTGATCCCAGAAACGAGGACCAGACGGCAGGACCGTCTGGTGAAATTCCTCTGGAAGAAACCTTGGGGACTCGTCAAGATTCTCCGAGTGGTCCGAGCACACCGGGTGATAGCATATTAGAAGACTCTGATTCTAATGCCGAAGGATCCGGCGATGAATCTGCTGGAGAAGGGTCTGGGTCCGAATCTGAAGCCCCAGCACAGGAGGCTGAGCCTATTGTTGAGGAGGCCTACAAATGGCCGGCTAAGGGGGATCCGACTGACATGACCATGTCAGCAAGAGACGTGGTCACCCTTACTGCAACCCTTCCTGCCTTTCTTTTTAAAAGGAAACCAGTTGGGAAGGACTGGGAAATAAGAGTCCCGCCTGTTAATGCAACCGTCGTATGGGAGGATGACTTGGACCATGCCGATGATTTTTTCGGCTGTTATGAGGCGGCATTCAAAGCAGGCCTCCGGTTCCCCCTTCACCCCTGCATCAAGGACATATTGCTGGGGTACGACTTGGGGGTATGGCAATTGACTCCTAACTCTTGGATCAATATTTTGGGGTACATTGCCGCGTGTGAGCTGCAGGAGGTAAACCCCAGTTGGGAGGCTTTTGCACACATGCATTACCTCAGCCGGGCTCCGGGTGGGTGGAACGCCTGGTACACCCTTACCACCAACCAAGAATACATGATGACTTTGGAGAAGCCATCAAAGTGGACCAACTGGAAGAGCAAATTTTATGTCGTCTCTTCGCCTTCCACTTCCCTAAATCACCGGCTGCGGCGGTATAATAAGCACCCGGCATTACTGGGCAAAAAATGCGCGCTCCCAAAAGTGCCGTCTGAGGCCTGGGACCAAATAATGGAGACGGGTCTCTTCCTCAAAACGACCCATCAGATGGAGGACGGAAGTGAAATCATCGTCCCAAAGTTCTGGGTACCCCTCCCGGAATGGTTAAGGGACGAGTCATTCTTGTCCCTTTGCAATCTAAGTTCAATGTTTAAAAAGAGTAGGTTCATTAACCCATCCGGTATTCTGACACCTGATTATGCATACACGCTCCAACTCGAATTTCCCTTTTCTGCAGGTACAGCTAAGAGAATGGTGCCTCCTGAAAAGACACCTGCCTTCTCAGCTATTGAGCTGAGAAAGAAGCAAATCGAAGAGAAGAAGGCGGCACTGGCCGCCAAGAATGGAGTAAAACCTCTTCCATTTCTTACCGGATGACATATGATCTGCCTTTGTTTCTAACTGATTGCTTTGTTTTGACTTTTCAGGGTGGAACCCAAGGCATGCCAAAATCATTAGCAAGCATGCACAAAAGACCGGCTGGTGTGATACCTCAGCCGGCTTCCAAAGCTCCAAGGCTGCCGGGTCCACCTTTGGCAGCTAGTCCTGCAAAGAGGACGTCTGACCCTGCCAGACCAACCACTGCAGGGAAAAGCCTGCAGCTAACGCCGAGTGCTTCGGCGGGCCAGACTCGGATGGGATCTGGCTCAGATGCGGCTGGGGGGGATGGCACCCCACAGCCTGTACAAGGTAAAACCTCTGCCTTTGACCCCCCCTGGCCGCTTGGGCATATGAGAGTCAAAACTCAAGCAAGCCAGTCTGGGGGCTCCTCTGGCAGCCGCATGAATATAGGCGGCGCCTATGCCCAGTATCTGACAGATAACCCTTCCTTTGCAGATGACTCTACCAGCCGGCCCGACTACAACCAATACGCCAAGAGAATGGTCAAGACTCTGACCCGTTCTGAAAAGG